CGTGTCACCGCCTACTTTATGACTACAAAGTTGTATCTCGGTAACCACCTTATCCATTTGTACCTAACTTAGTTCAATTATATCATTAAGTCTTACTCTGTATATTATCAAAAACGTTGAAATCGGGAAAAACACCCCTGTTTATCATGCAAAGGTAGTTCAGAGAAAGTTGAAGCGACGGAAGTTCGGTTTCGCCCGAACTTAGACTTCTTTACTTGTGAGTTGAATATTCTTCAGAGTATTTTATTTTGATAAAAAATATAACCACCAAACCATATAACGGGGTAACGAGACAGGTCAGACTAAGGGTCTATACATTCTCTCTTTAAAACATGTTTTGTTTTCAAAATCGGATGAAAAATAGTCAAGCTGTTAATAGATAAGTGCATCAAGAACGAACATAACGGTTGTTTTTAAATTAAATAAAAATGGAGGGTTCAGGAACTATTTTATGTTGTACTCAACCATAGCTACAACCTACACTAGGTTTTGTTTCGGGTGTATTTCAAAACTTTTTTTGTAGCGCCGTGTTATTATTATTTGTCTGACTAAAACTAATAAGTTCCGACAAGTTTATCTTAGAGGACAGACTATTACTGCGCATGTAAGAACGCAGCCATTTCGGACCGGTTAGGTAAATTGTGAGCACAGAGATTTTAGGTCAGCCCAACAGTTTGCACGCATGGAAGTAAGAGAAATATATTGAGGTTGTTCTTCATTGTGTTGTGCTTCAGACTGAAAAGGTATTCTACTTATTATGGAGGCTACTATAGCGGTCTTTTCAGATAATATAAGAGCCTTAAAAAATGGCATCCTAATATGATTGACGGAAGTACGAAAACAGGCTGTTATCAAAAAGGTCGGAAAAAGTGCATGGAGGAATTGGACGAAGCCAGTATAATCCAGCTGCCCATAAACATTACAAGCTTCCAGAGTTGAATGGCAAATAACTAATTATTCATTTCTATTCTATTGAATATTTTTAAGAAAACTTCTGATTAGGTAAACTCCACATAGAACATTTCGTAATTGGACTTCGGTTTTTAAACATCTAGGTTGACCTGTCTCGTTACCCCGTTATATGGTTTGGTGGTTATATTTTTTATCAAAATCAAATACGCTGAAGGATAATAAACTCAAAAAAAAAATCACAGGTATGCCTACATATTATGTACATATCGTCACTAGACAAGAACAGTGTTGCCGCGAATCATTTTTAGTGGTAGCCAAATTCCTTTTAAAAAAGGGCTAGAAAGAGCTAAAAATAATTTACTGGCGCCGGCATGCTGGCATCATCTATGGGCAGTGTGCAAACCTCTACCACATATTTTTTAAAATTTGGGTGTCTACCGCATCTACCACACAAGGCTTAAAATCTACCACATTTTTAGGCAGAACATTTNGACAAGAACAGTGTTGCCGCGAATCATTTTTAGTGGTAGCCAAATTCCTTTTAAAAAAGGGCTAGAAAGAGCTAAAAATAATTTACTGGCGCCGGCATGCTGGCATCATCTATGGGCAGTGTGCAAACCTCTACCACATATTTTTTAAAATTTGGGTGTCTACCGCATCTACCACACAAGGCTTAAAATCTACCACATTTTTAGGCAGAACATTTGTTTAAAATTTTCACAAAAGTCTAAAATTTCAACTCAATTCTTATACGAAATTTAAAAATTAATCAGTAAATTTGTAAAAAGGTATATCATAAATTTTGCTTTAAATATATCTGTGCCTTAACTTTTTAATATTTCAAAAATCCGCATATTTGTATTTGCTAAAGTATTATGCAATGGAAAAATAATTTGGTCGATTTTTTTGCATAAATCAATCTGTAGGATATTTCTCAAATTAATGAAAATATTTTTTTCTTCATGATTATATTCTCTAACTAGAAAACTAATGGTATACTTGTTTTTGCACCGATTACGTTGAATCTGTACGATATTTCCCGATCTAAGTTTTGAGTTGTGCCTCTTTTGACAACGGTGTGCGATATGTATACTCAATAAAAATATGAATTGGAAAATCTACCACATCTTATTCAAATCTACCACATCTTTTTGCCGATTTTAAACACTAAAATAAAAAGGGGTTTGCACACTGTCTATGAGCCCTTTAACAAATTAAGCATATTTAGGGCTGTAAACCTATCTATCTAGATAAGTTAACTGCCCTAACACTTTTGAAGTTTATATAAAAACGTAAGGAACGTACAATACATATACACATACATAGTCTTTCTTAGTTTAAAAATGCATCCCTTCATAAATGAAAAAAATAGATCAAGTTAAGCATATACCACTTTTTCATGTCAAGGATGAATAAATTTTCCAAAGGACTAAAAAAAAGGGCTAGTGGCTGTTCTAAATTTATGTGGCCAAAAAAAGTATGTGGTAGCTAAATCTAGCCACCAAAGGGCTGAAATGGCAACACTGGACACGAATAAAGGCGCGAGCTTAAAAGTTGACCGCGAAAAAAACGCATAAAAAAACTTCAACGAAGAAAAAATTTTTGGGGAATAATGCTGAAGTGACAGTCCTTGGCTTGGTAGACATCTATGATTACGCGTCTTTCTTCGCCGTCAACGCGTAAACCTAGTCCTTTTTCGTCAATGCGTCCTTTTTCGCCTTCAAAATAATGGCGCGCCTATATTCGTGTCTAGTGACGATATAATAAATTTGAAAAATAAGAATAAATGCAATTTTTGCAGGTGCTTATTTTCAAAACGTGAGATAGCATAGAAGAGATTCCAAAGAGCATATGAAACCATGAAGCCACTCTAATCCTGATCATATTTAGATAGTATTACTGATCCATTGCAACTGAGTATTAGTTAGATTAAAGAACTCTACCTCCTTAAAAAATATTTTTTGTTTAACCAAGTTTTAAGCGCGAGACAGACGAGCATTCTTATACAGATAAACTAGCACATAAATGTGCATAATAATTTTGCCCTTACAGGCAAGGTCGTGGGTTCGAGTCCCACGACCAGTAGAATTTTCATTTATTTCGTTTTTATTAATTTTTTATAGGCTCTATATTTTTTTAACGTTGCTTTCAGTTAAATGTTGCTGACTTTTTAATAAAATTCAACTCTAAAAATTTAAATTAACTAATAGTAAAACAAAAAATGTTATATAAAATAAAGCAAATGAAAACAAAGTAAAGTAAAATTAAATACATAAATAAAAATAAAATAAAATAAATAATAAAAACAAAAAATTTGTTGGCAATCGCTCCAACCGAGGATCGAGCAGCTACAGGCTTGTAGCACGCAACTCTCACCACTCGGCTATCGCGGACTTGTACCAGTGTCGTTTTTACCAGTGTTGTCATCGAAAATTCCTCTGATCCGAGTTAATTCCCAAAAATTTCGTGCATTTGCTCGGCTGTTTATGCGCATTTGAAAGAGTAAAATGCATGAGTTAACCCGGCGAGAATGTAGCTGGGTGTGACATACCCATCCTGTTACTTATATGAGTGTATTTTTTTCTCTGGTTATTCAAACGTTTCGTTGTTTTGTGTAGCTATAATCAAAGCACTGAGTTAGAGAATTGTGGCGTGATCGCAGTGGGGCGGTGGCTTTTGCTCGAGTTACAAGCTTGCTAACATCGCTTGGTATGTAATATTACAACATTTATTCTTCAGAGAATCTCATTCCAAGTAAATGAACCTCCACATTCATCATCCCAATATGTGGAAAGCCATATGTATGGAGTATACGGTATTTTTTTGTAAATACACTTTCCTTTTAATCTTTTGTGGATTTTTTTAAAGTACCAAAATTTTTGTTTGAAAAGTTTATAATTTCGTGTTTCTTCAATTATTTGTAATAATAAAAGTGTTAAACTGCATATATTTAAATTAAATTGAACTACAACATTGCCTGTTACAGTAAAGCATCTTTATTTCACTGCAAATTCTATGTCAAATACATTTTGGAGTATATTTTCTATGCGGGTATATCATACCCTGCCACATACCCTTAGTAACATTTTGTTACCACAGTCCCGCCGGGTAAATGCAACTAAATGCTGTTTATGCAAATAAGTGAACCCGTTTGTCACCCGTATTAGATTGCTGAACATGAATATAATACTCACTAACTTTTTGTAAAAAAAAACTCTCCGTTAAATAACGAAATTTTGACGATTTTTTGCATGGTGGTTTATTGTTTTTAATACCGTAAACTTTATTTGAGGGTTATCTTGAAAACAATTGTGATCACCTTTTTCGCAACAGGTCTTATGACCTATTGTTGAAAAAATGGCCAATAGGTGAATAAAATTACATCTAAAATATTAAGCAGCAAATTTTACTGTGGACTCACGAAAAATACAAAGGTCCGCGGATGAAAGTGAAAGAGTAAATATATAAACTATTATGAAAAGTAATTAAATGTTTTCACCAAAAAGGAGAAACTTTAACCTTGGGTATAACAAATGTTGATGAGATGAAGCAACACCTTCCTGGGTTTTGACTACCAAGTGTAGAACGTCTGGGCATAGTTTCAAGGCCCTTAAATGAGTGCTTCCGCGAGCGACAAAAATCCTGAACACACTTTGGTTGAGATGGCACAACCCCTGAGCCCCGCAAATGAAGTTTTACGACTGGCCTTATAACATTGAAAAAAGATTTACTACTATGCAAAAAATCGTCAGATTTCCAGTCCTATCGATCCTTATTTAATTGCACCAAACGTTTCTCAAAATAGCATAATTATTTTTGAAACATACTCTAGATGACATTTGAAATAATACGCGTGCATGTATCCCCCATAAGTTTCCCAAATACCTATTTTTGTGTGCTCATTAACAGTTCGGACCAACTGGATTTTCACCAAATATGCAAACAATTAACATTCAAATTCAACACTGCTTTTAAAATCCTCTCCATTTCACGTCAATGGAAGTTTTCATTTTCCATTTTCGGATTAAAAGTTACTACTTATTTGCTTAAACAAATATTTATAAAGCATTAGCGCTATTTGTACTTACACATTATTGGCATTTTTATGGCAGCCAATTCGGGTGGCATTGGCCCGCCAATTGGTATTTGCAGCGGAGTAATATCGAATGCAGTCATATCATCCTCGCCGCCACCCTCATCGTCATAATTGATAATATTCTCTCGCACATCATCATCCGGGCCGGGATATTTAATGTGCGCCTCGCGTCGGCGATTATAAACGACGAATACGAGCACTAGAACTAGAAATGGGAAAGTAGAGGGAGAGAGTCAACCGAGATTGCATTGGATGTTAGTACATGAATTGAAAATACGATTTATATGAAAATATGCATATATGTATTTAAGTACATACATCCGTATGCATATGCAATGGTACATATTTGAGGAATTAATAAATTTCAAATGCAGTATTCAGCATATTCCTGTACAGAGCGACGTCGGCGGCACTTATCTCGCCACAAAGCTATTCCATTGAACGTTCGTTCTTGTTAATTTATGTAGGTATGTATATCGTACATAATCTATTTTCGCAACAACGCTACCGCTAAGTTTTATACTTAAAAACTCAAAATGCATAGTTTTATATACAAAATACAACTTTTTAACTAACTAACGATTTTTTTCATTTTACATCTGTGCGCATTTCATATTCATATAAGTACCTTAATGCTTTATGAGTGCATGCGTGCTATAGTAAATTATGTAGATAAAGTAGTAGTAGTAACGAGCTGACAAGCGTGCGCAGTAGCTCTGAGTGCAAGCAAATATTTTACTAAAGCAAAAATGTTAAAGTAATCAAATAAGTTACTTTTCCTACTTGTACAAATATTATATACACAAGTACGTAAGCATAAATAAGTTGAATGCGCTTTTTATCGCTTTAATGGCGTGCACCCCCATATACTTAAATATGTATACATGCATACATATGCATATTTGTGTGGAAATGTATATGTCTTTAAATATTTTATATAAATATGTGTACACCCAGCAAACACAGTCTCTAACGTCAGACAAATTTGGATTTCTACATTAGATAACTGGGGTAATTTTCTAATCGTTCTCGAGTCGATGACGAAGTTCGAGAACTTCATTCGATTCGAGAAATAACGCAAATTCAAATAAATGTAAATAAGCAATATTCCAAATGAATGAATCATAAATAATGTTTAAGTTCAAATAATTCATTATTATTTTATTGCAAATACATTTATACAAATTTTACAAACAAAGCGTTTTACTTATTAAGGCAAAACAGCAGTTTGAAATTCACATTCGAATCCCTTAGAGACCAATATTAGAATTCGATTAGAGAATTAATATTTTCTCGAGTGGAGAACTATGTCCCATTTTTGTTGAGATCGCTATGATTCTCAATAGTTTTTCGAGCCGTCCTCTAACGTTTGAGATTGGAGAATGTGGCTAGTGGGCACAACCATGGGCGTAGCCAGGTAGGGGCGGGGGGTGCTCGAGCCCCCCCTAACATTCAAATTTTCCTTATATATATATAAAATAGTACCCTGAAATGCCAGCTTAATAGCGTCGAGCCCTCCTCCCCCCCCTAAATTTCATTCTGGCTACGCCGATGGGCACAACCATTATACAACTTGCTGGGCGTATTTGTAAATAGACTAAATGCAGCTTCCATAACTAAACCAAATACCCACAAACAAATACCTGATAACCAACAATCGTATTTGTATGCGAGTTTATGTGTGCTGCGTCTGTATGTGGGTAAGTAAATTACAAATTTGTTCACCCTTTCGGTTACGCACGAATGAAATGCATCAGTTTGTGGTAGCGATGGTGGATGCGGCAACACGTTGCCTGCCACACGCGGGGCATTAATTACTTGCAACAAGAAAATACATATTTGAAAATTTTATACACAGCTAAACCAACACAATCCGTTTGCTGCTGTTGTTTATGTATGTAGTGCTCTAAGTTACGTACACTGCAAATGCAATATGCAGTGCATTAAATTAACAATGTTGCAAAATCACGCCAGCGAATTTTAGAATAGAAGCAGCCGCAACAGTTGCAATTTCGCTACATGCAGAGCAGAAATCCATTTATAAATTCGCATAACTCTGCACCCCTTTGTTACATACGTTGAAGCTTTATTTAGTATAACACCTGCAACCAATTCATTTTGAAACCTTAAAAGAGAGATAAACTGGTGATATTTTTGTTTTTTGCAAAAATACGTTGAGTTTAATTAAATATCCCTGCGCTTTTGTTGGTTCTTTTTCGACTGAAGTTAATTAATATTCTTTTTCTTTACGTATGGGGGTTTTCAATACGATTTGCTACTCATTTATGTAACTTATCTGGTGGTTGATGCAATATAAAAAGCATTCGTTTACATTACGTATACGCCCCAGTGAATGATGTATCATTAATTTTGTAGACATACATATGCACATACTTATATAAGTATTTGCCACAACGAATGATATACCATTGCATTTCATTGCGCCTCGGGTTTAAAGTTTTGTATCTATGCATAACTATCAAAAATTCTCACTGTGGTGTTTAAGAAATTCGTATTTTTATTTGACATTTATCTGTTTAATTTTTTTATTCACATTACTAGTGGTGTAATCTTGATAAAAAACAGAAGGCAGCTTCAACAAAATATGTTGAACTTTCATAAATTGTAAGCACTATCATCAGCCTTTCCGGAGTTATTTTTTACCATATTTATACCAATGAAATAATATTTCAAATATAAATTAATTATAATTTTTTTAAAGGTATTAAAGGTAAACTGTATAAAAGGCCTCGTCGTAATTGTTCTTCTTATCTATCTCTATCTATCGGTTGATCCATCTATAACTTTTTTATGGTAGAGTACTGGAACTTGGTGCAGAAATATTTAGGCATATGAAATCAATCGCAAACTTATGGAGAAAATTAGAGAAATTGGTACGGACATATGTGAAATCAATAGCAAAAATTGGAGCTTTTAGAAAACAGGGCCTGGCACTTCCCAATGAAAAAGAATTTTTTCTACTGCATATCTCTGGAAGTGTTAGTGGTAGAGTACTGGAACTTGGTATGGAGATATACATACATATGAAATCAATCCCATGCTCATGGATAAAATTGGGGCAATTTAAAAAGGGGGTGTGGCGCCTTCCAAACGTGCTGAAACTTTTACCTATCTTTGTATGTATATATAAGATTTCACAGTTGCAGTAAAAATGTCTGCCAAATTTTACCAAAAATCTATTGATGTATTGTCATTTTTTAACTTATAAACTAAACACGCACAGAAAATTATAGCCAACTTTGTTTAATAAAATTTTAATTTGAGAGGAACCTAATTTTCTCCTATAGAAATGTGATAGTGATTTCTTTGGAATTATGAGTTTATTGGCTCAAAACCAAACTTGAAAATTCCTCTATTTCTTGCATGACTTTTTACCTTTTTAAAGGATAAAATGGGCAACCAGTGAATTAGTTTTACATTCTGCACCCATTTACAAACAGGGTGGAAGTATGCTGGTGTACGAGGAGTGACCTCCAAGTTTTTATCCAATCATGAAAAATGTCTTGACCAAATTTTTGTCTGACCTATTGCTTCTAGTAAATTGAATTTTTCAAATACTATTTCATGCTAAAAGTGCTTTTTATGCCATTTCTGTAATCCTGTTATTATATTTTTATACCCGAGCGCACTTGTGCACAAGGGTATATTAATTTTGTTCACATAACGGTTGTTTGTAACAGCCAAAACGAATCGAGATAGATATAGGCAAATGTATACATAAATGATCAGGATGAAAAAAGAAATCAGAAAGAAATCTGTCTGTCCGTCCGTCCGAGTACACGATAACTCGAGCAAAAATTGAGATATCTCAACGAAATTTGGTATGTAGGTTTCCCTTAA